TTTATGACAGTTCTGGGACACTCACTCCATACAGCGGTTGAAACATTGTATCTATTTGTTTCCATAAATGGATCCATTTATGGAAACAAATAGATACAATGTTTCAACCGCTGTATGGAGTGAGTGTCCCAGAACTGTCATAAATAGTCTATTTCTGACAGTTCTATGACATTCCCTCCATACAGTGGTTGAAACCGCTGTATGGAGTGAATGTCCCAGAACTGTCAGAAATAGTCTATTTCTGACAGTTCTGGGACATTCACTCCATACAGCGGTTTCAACCGCTGTATGGAGGGAATGTCATAGAACTGTCAGAAATAGACTATTTATGACAGTTCTGGGACACTCACTCCCATACAGCGGTTGAAACATTGTATCTATTTGTTTCCATAAATGGATCCATTTATGGAAACAAATAGATACAATGTTTCAACCGCTGTATGGAGTGAGTGTCCCAGAACTGTTAGAAATAGTCTATTTCTGACAGTTCCATGACATTCCCTCCATACAGCGGTTGAAACCGCTGTATGGAGTGAATGTCCCAGAACTGTCAGAAATAGACAGAAACTGTCACAGAACTGTCCTTCTTCTCATCCTTCTTCTCATCCTTCTTCTCATCCTTCTCCTTCTTCTCATCCTTCTCCTTCTCCTTCTTCTCATCCTTCTCCTTCTTCTCATCCTTCTCCTTCTCCTTCTTCTCATCCTTCTCCTTCTCCTTCCTTCTTCTCATCCTTCTCCTTCTCCTTCTTCTCATCCTTATCCTTCTTCTCATCCTTATCCTTCTTCTCATCCTTCTCCTTCTCCTTCTTCTCATCCTTCTCCTTCTTCTCATCCTTCTCCTTCTTCTCATCCTTCTCCTTCTCCTTCTTCTCATCCTTCTCCTTCTCCTCATCCTTCTCCTCATCCTTCTCCTTCTCCTCATCCTTCTCCTTCTTCTCATCCTTCTCCTTCTTCTCATCCTTCTCCTTCTTCTCATCCTTCTCCTTCTCCTCATCCTTCTCCTTCTTCTCATCCTTCTCCTTCTTCTCATCCTTCTCCTTCTTCTCATCCTTCTCCTTCTCCATCTTCTCATCCTTCTCCTTCTCATCCTTCTCCTTCTCCTTCTTCTCATCCTTCTCCTTCTCCTTCTTCTCATCCTTCTCCTTCTCCTTCTTCTCATCCTTATCCTTCTTCTCATCCTTCTCCTTCTTCTCATCCTTCTCCTTCTCCTTCTTCTCATCCTTCTCCTTCTTCTCATCCTTCTCCTTCTTCTCATCCTTCTCCTTCTCCTTCTTCTCATCCTTCTCCTTCTTCTCATCCTTCTCCTCATCCTCTCCTTCTCCTCATCCTTCTCCTTCTCCTCATCCTTCTCCTTCTTCTCATCCTTCTCCTTCTTCTCATCCTTCTCCTTCTCTCTCATCCTTCTCCTTCTTCTCATCCTTCTCCTTCTTCTCATCCTTCTCCTTCTTCTCATCCTTCTCCTTCTCCATCTTCTCATCCTTCTCCTTCTCATCCTTCTCCTTCTCCTTCTTCTCATCCTTCTCCTTCTTCTCATCCTTCTCCTTCTTCTCATCCTTCTCCTTCTCCTTCTTCTCATCCTTCTCCTTCTCCTTCTTCTCATCCTTCTCCTTCTTCTCATCCTTCTCCTTCTCCATCTTCTCATCCTTCTCCTTCTTCTCATCCTTCTCCTTCTCCTTCTTCTCATTCCTTCTCCTTCTCCTTCTTCTCATCCTTCTCCTTCTCCTTCTTCTCATCCTTCTCCTTCTTCTCATCCTTCTCCTTCTTCTCATCCTTCTCCTTCTCCTTCTTCTCATCCTTCTCCTTCTCCTTCTTCTTCCATCTCCTTCTCCTTCCTCATCTCCAAGGGCATTTAAATTAAAGGTACAGTGTTCTGCACTAATTTAAAGGCTCTCTGAAGCCTAGAAACCCTTTTTATAAGTCATCTTCGTAGCGAATAAATTCGCATCGAATCGAATTTCATACTGGAATTCGCCGAATCAGCCGAATCGAATTTTTGAATACTTCGCTCATCTCTATTTACAACAACACCAATCAAAGGAAGGATGCAATAATGGGAAAAGTGAGTATTTTCTTCAGTGTAAAAAGATTTTTTTTTTGGTTGTATAATGTTTTCCCTATACGTATGCTAAAAGTGCTATGCCTCTTTCTTGATGTAATATGCTGATTTTAATGTGACATATTTTATTATGATAATTAATGTTCAAGTCATCAGTCAATAGAACTTCAGTGCTGTATTGATTACTTTCACATTAATTCACACAGGAGAACGCAAGAATATTGATGAAGATAAATCTGATAAACATGAATCTGTCTGTGAGGATTTGGCAAAAAATGTTATGTATGACCCTGTGGAGGTTTCTGAGGAAGTAATACTGAACCTCATGCCTGTTGAGGAGGATGTAGTCAATAACACAAGTTGTGGTAAGTATTCATCTATATACATTCATCTATACATGCATTCATCTAAAATATACATTTTAATAATTCTCATTTGTATTAACAGGAAATCCAGAGTCACCAGCACTAAACAGTTATACCACACAAAAACTTACGGCAGAATTGATGGCTTTGTAACGTCCAGATTGAGGACATGAGGGAAACTTTGAACACCATGCAATGCAGGATCAATACAGTTTTGGATACACTCTGCAAAACTGATATGATTCGCGTATTGTATTTCCCTGACCATTGTTTTAAAAATGTTCCACAGTTTGAATGTCTAACCCTTTTTCTCTGAATATTACACACACTGATTCATGTCAGCAATTATGTTTTGTCAATGGACGTTTTGCACATTGTAACCTTTAATCATTGTTTTTTGAACTGCTGTTATTAATGTCAGCACTGGGGTTATGCTATGCTTGTTGATTTGAGCATTGCATATCCTACAGTCCTGCCTGCTCACAGGTTGATTATCCTTTTCTCAGACACATTTTGACAACTGCTTTTATTAATGTCAGCACTGGGGTTATACTATGCTTGTTGATTTGAGCATTGCATATCCTACAGTCCTGCCTCACACAGGTTGATTATCCTTTTCTCAGACACATTTTGAAAACTGCTTTTATTAATGTCAGCACTGGGGTTATGCTATGCTTGTTGATTTGAGCATTGCATATCCTTTGACCTGAGATTTTAACAAACTGATTACAGTCCTGCCTGCACACAGGTTTTGCTAAAGGATGTCCTATACATACATTATCCACTTTTTTTTCAGACTAATTTTTTCAACTGCTTTCATTCATATCAGCACTGGAGTTGTGCTTATATGTACATATTTTTACAAACTGATTACAGTCATGTCAGCAATTAGCAAACTTGAAATTAAAATGTGATTGCACACATTGAGATGCTGTTATGTCTTCTTTATTGAAGGTCTCTGCCATTAAACCATATTTGTCTATATTGTCACATTTTATATTGTGAACAGACAGGAACATTGTTTTTTTATAAACAAAAACATAATGCTTCAAAAATAATAATGAAAAATTATTTATTTTGGATAATGTTCTTTTGGATGATTACAAAATTGTTCAATAAAGCACTTCTGCTTAAAAATCTGACTGTGTTATTTTATAAAAGTTAAAATATATGGTGATATTGAACATTAATTATATAACCATGTGGGGTACTTCAACACAGTTAAATTAATTATTTATTTACGCAATAATGCATGCAATAATGTGATGATTACATTTTAGAAGAATTTGTACCGGAAACGAAATTTCGTACGCTGCAAACTTCTCTTTCCAGGTCACTGCACATGCGCATAAAATTTTCGGAAAACGATCGTACGGTTTTGACCATCAATGAGGATAAAGTCGGCCGTTTTCCGAAAATTTTCCAAGATGACCGATAATCTGAAAGTACAAAATACACGAAAAATGGCCGACGAAATCGTCCACTAACGGAACGATAATCGGTAGATTTTTCTTCCGGACGAAAAATCGGGCCGAATTACGATCCATCTATGGCCTGCATAAAACCGTACGATCGTTTTCCGAAAATTTTATGCGCATGTGCAGTGACCTGGAAAGAGAAGTTTGCAGCGTACGAAATTTTGTTTCCGGTACAAATTCTTCTAAAATGTAAACATCACATTATTGCATGCATTATTGTGTAAATAAATAATTAATTTAACTGTGTTGAAGTACCCCACATGTGTTATATAATTAATGTTCAATATCACCATATATTTTAACTTTTATATAAAAATAACACAGTCAGATTTTTAAAGCAGAAGTGCTTTATTGAACAATTTTGTAATCATCCAAAAGAACATTATCCAAAATAAATAATTTTTCATTATTATTTTTGAAGCATTATGTATTTTGTTTATAAAAACAATGTTCCTGTCTGTTCACAATAAAATGTGACAATATAGACAAATATGGTTTAATGGCAGAGACCTTCAATAAAGAAGACATAACAGCATCCTCAATGTGTGCAATCACATTTTAATTTCAAGTTTGCTAATTGCTGACATGACTGTAATCAGTTTGTAAAAATATGCACAAATAAGTACAACTCCAGTGCTGATATGAATGAAAGCAGTTGAAAAAAATAGTCTGAAAAAAGGATAATGTATGTATAGGACATCCTTTAGCAAAACGTGTGTGCAGGCAGGACTGTAATCAGTTTGTTAAAATCTCAGGTCAAAGGATATGCAATGCTCAAATCAACAAGCATAGCATAACCCCAGTGCTGACATTAATAAAAGCAGTTTTCAAAATGTGTCTGAAAAAGGATAATCAACCTGTGTGCAAGCAGGACTGTAGGATATGCAATGCTCAAATCAACAAGCATAGCATAACCCCAGTGCTGACATTAATAACAGCAGTTTCAAAAAACAATGATTAAAGGTTACAATGTGCAAAACGTCCATTGACAAAACATAAATTGCTGACATGAATCAGTGTGTGTAATATTCAGAGAAAAAGGGTTAGACATTCAACTGTGGAACATTTTTAAAACAATGTCAGGGAAATACAATACGCGAATCATATCAGTTTGCAGAGTGTATCCAAAACTGTATTGATCCTGCAATGCATGGTGTTCAAAGTTTCCCTCATGTCCTCAATCTGGACGTTACAAGCCATCAATTCTGCCGTAAGTTTTTGTGTGGTATAACTGTTTAGTGCTGGTGACTCTGGATTTCCTGTTAATACAAATGAGAATTATTAAAATGTATATTTTAGATGAATGCATGTATAGATGAATGTATATAGATGAATACTTACCACAACTTGTGTTATTGACTACATCCTCCTCAACAGGCATGAGGTTCAGTATTACTTCCTCAGAAACCTCCACAGGGTCATACATAACATTTTTTGCCAAATCCTCACAGACAGATTCATGTTTATCAGATTTATCTTCATCAATATTCTTGCGTTCTCCTGTGTGAATTAATGTGAAAGTAATCAATACAGCACTGAAGTTCTATTGACTGATGACTTGAACATTAATTATCATAATAAAATATGTCACATTAAAATCAGCATATTACATCAAGAAAGAGGCATAGCACTTTTAGCATACGTATAGGGAAAACATTATACAACCAAAAAAAAAATCTTTTTACACTGAAGAAAATACTCACTTTTTTTGAGAATTTTTCTTATTCTCTTGAACTGATCAGCTTCCCTTAACTTCAGATCAGACCATCGTTTTCTTAGTTGGTCCTTTGTGCGTTTTACCCCAAATTTTTTCCAAAGCACTTTAAGGATTTTGCCCATTATTGCATCCTTCCTTTGATTGGTGTTGTTGTAAACTTGCAGCTTGCAGTCATAATCCTTTCTGAGCAGGATTCTAACCATCTCCACCATCTCCTCCAAAGACATGTTGGTTGCCTTTCTTTTTGTATCTCTTCCACTTTTAAGAAGCTGCTGCTGTGATCCTTCTTGCTCACTAGGTATGTTGAATTCCTTTTGCTCCGCCATCTTGTTTCCAGCAAAAGAGGGAGGAGGAAGGGGGCGGTGTTTATAGTGTGAAGAGCGCCAAAAAGCAGGTACGTTCGTACGTTCATTCGACCGAGCGATCGTATCTGCTGAGGAGGGCTGCTAGTTTCTGCGGAGGGCTGCTGGTCGGAACGATAATTCGTTAATAATTCGGCAGGAGAAAACGAAGTGTCTGTGTCAAAACAACCACATCAAGTCATCTTTACCAGTAGGTACCTTTCAGAATTCAATACATGTTTACAGTTATGCAACATGTTGCAAGGCTTTCCTGTCTCATGTGCTGGGTGCTGTGTACAATTTAACCCATTGTGACAGCATAAGCATATTGTATTATTATCATTATTTCTTATAATATATATTTGGGCCTCATTGTAAAACTTTTTTTTTTTTTTTTCTTTCAGCTATGGCACATAAATTCACATCTGTGGCGTTTTTGCCAGAGTTTATTGACATGTACAGGGAGATGCCCTGTATGTGGAAAGTGAAATCCAAAGAATATTCTAATCGTTTGATGCGTGATGAGGCGATGAAAAAACTTATAGAATTGTGCAAAACTGTGTGCGTACATGCAGATGAGACCTATGTAAAGAACAAGATTGCAAATCTGCGTACTGCGTTTAAAAAAGAGTTAAATAAAATTGAAAACTCCAAAAAATCTGGTGCTGGCACAGATGAGGTGTATGTGCCACGGCTGTGGTATTTTAACAGCCTCATGTTCCTGAATGACTCAGATGTGCCAAGGGAGTCTCAATGTACTTTGCTGCCTGGTCCCTCTGATGAACCATCCTTTTCACCTCTGCCTGAATCTGAGGTACCAGAGACACAGGTAATTGAAGTCAAACATTTTACTTTACAATATATGATCATATGCAACCTCAGAATGTACAAATTAAATCAATGAACACAAATTTCTCAATATATATTTATTATTTATATGCACACATGCACTTTTTTTTGCAAAACTAAAGTCAACTTTAATATATACATTAGACAAACTTTAATATATACTTTAGACAACATTATCCTGCCAAGATACTGCACCATGGCCCACAAAATATTGCATATAATTAACACGATTTTCACGCGCTGCCGCGGTTGACAAAACTGGACGCGCAGGAGCCAAATTTTCAAGGCCTCCATTATCGCTCCTCCATTCTCCTGGCAGAATTTCACCGCTTAACAGATCTTCTCTGTCCACTGATACTGGTGATATATAAGCTGTGTTGGTCGACCTGAGAAAATTGTGGATTAGGCAGCAGCTCTCCACAATCACATCAGTTGTGTCAACGCCACATTGATGGGGAGTGTGGAAAATCCCGGAAGCGACTTGCCAGGATGCCAAAGGCATTTTCCACCACGCGTCGTGCCCTTGACAGCCTGTAATTGAACACTTTTTGATTTGTGATTCATATTTCGCCATGGAAATGGCTTTAAAATATTTTCACTCAAAGGAAAAGCATCATCCGCTACAAAAAAAAAATTAAGTCCTTCAACTGTATGCTCGGATGTTGGAAGATGTAGAAGTCCACCCTTCATTCTTCTGTGGAATTCAGTATTCTCCATCACTCCTCCATCGGAATTACGGCCATTTTTTCCGATATCCAGATACATAAAACTCATATTTGGCGTTCACAATGGCCAATAGTATGATACTGAAGAAGCCTTTATAATTAAAGTAGTAGGACCCGGAGTGAGCAGGCAGTGTAATGCGCACATGTTTGCCATCTATGGCACCACCACAGTTAGGAAAGTTCCACAGGTCTTGGAAGTCTTTGGAAATCTGCATCCAGTCCTTGAGGGCACTTGGAAACTGTAACAGATAAAAAGGTTTTTATTGCCTGTTTTTGTAACATTTAACACATTTTCTACATTTCTGTTTGTTATAGGAAAGTGAGGCAACACCAGAGAAAACTACAAGATCACTGCACGTGAACAAATGCAAAAAAAAAAGAAACACAGATTCGGAAAACGACACTATTTTTAAGGCAAGCAACTGCTGCCCTGGCAGAAAAAGAGGATGAATGTGACGCATTTGCAAAACATATCGCCCACAAGCTGCGAAATATGAGCCTGCAACAACAGGAAATAATAGACCCACTGATGTACCAGCTATTGACTATTGGCCAAAGGGGACAGGGTACCTATGACACCCGAATTGTGGGATTCTGTAGATATCCACCTCCACAGGGCATAGCACAACCACATAACATACGACCAAACACACCAGCCAAAGAGCCTCAACATTTGGCTGCCTCCCCACTTAATCCACAGTGGCCAGAACAATCCCACAGTAACTGGGATGTGAAATACCTCAACCTGTAAGATAGTTATTGCATAAAACGTGTTCTCATTAAAGTATATTAAAATGTTTTTTTTTTATATGTTTTTAGTTCAATAAACTTGTTAAAATTTATATAATATAAGGACTGGATTCTTCTTTTTAAAAAATTGTTTCTCATTGTGGTTTTTCTCTTTATTGTGTGGGGGGGGGGGGGAAGTAAGAAGAATTTATAAAATTTTTTTGCTTTTGTTCTAAATTTTTGATATTTCACTATGACCAAAGTAGTACAATATTACCATGGTAACATTGTACTACTTTGGTGAAGTGATAATAATTTATTTAACTATTTGCAAAGTATTACTTTGCTATTAACAAGCATTTACAGCAGGGGTCCTCAAACTACAGCCCGCGGGCCACATGCGGCCCGCCGAGCAGATTCATCCGGCCCGCCGTACAGGGGCGGGCAGGGGGCTGCTGTCTCTTATCTGGCTCCGGTCCCAGTACCACGATGATCCAGTCCCGGGATGCGCAGCTCCTTCTCTCCGGCCGCTCCCTCACTCGATGTCCCGCGCTGCCACTCGGCTCCGCCTCCTCGCCGGTGATTGGGCGCCAGTACTGTAGCTTAGGAAAAGCACACATGCAGCCAATCACCGGCGAGGAGGCGGAGCCGAGCGGCCCCACGAAATCAAGGGAGGGAGAGGCCGAAGTGAAGGAAGGAGGACAGCTGACCGCCCGGTAAGTGCCGTGCAGATGGTGCTGCTACAACCAGGTATGATGGCTGCAGCAGCACCATGCTGGAACAGGGGTCGGCTAGTTAAGTGTCATTGCTGTCAGTGGGAGGAATAGTGCTCCATCATTGGTGTCACTGACACCAACGATGGGACACTATTCCTTCCACTGACACCAACGATGGGACACTATTCCTTCCACTGACACCAACGATGGGACACTATGCCTCCCACTGACACCAACGATGGGACACTATGCCTCCCACTGACACCAACGATGGGACACTATTCCTCCCACTGACACCAATGATGGGGCAGTATTTTGCTCCATAAGACACACTTGGGGGAAATGTCGTGTGTCTTATAGAGCGGCCAGCCCAGTATTCCCGCCGCCGTTGTATGTCCGCAGTCTCTGAACAAATGCGGACACAGTACAGGAGAGGACCATAGTTTATTTTTTTTTTAAACTATAGTCCGGCCCTACAATGGTCTGAGGGACAGTGAACTGGCCCCCTGTTTAAAAAGTTTGAGGACCCCTGATTTACAGGAATGACATCAGGTCACATGGTACCGGCAACAGGGCCAGTACTCCGATCTCTCATGGGCCGTGACTGAGGTTAACATGTGGGTTGATGAAATGGTTAACTGTGTACTGTTTCACATTACATGCTGTCAGTGATTTGCACTGTATGCACATTTCTTTTTATGAGTAAGATAAGCAGAGTCATACAAACCAGTGTGCAGGAGCAGAAAGGGGAGAGAACTGTTAGATTTGTAAAGACAAAACAATATAACAAAATAATATAATATTTCAGTCATATATATATATATATATATATATATATATATATATATATATATATACATACATATGTAATTAACTACCTTCAAAATAGTCAGCTTCCAGCACGCTGGATATTGCTGCACACGTTTCTGGGATTATCCGACCTAAGGACTGTGCGGATATACCCGTTGAAAACTTGAGGTCTTCATAGGATCTTCCTGTTGCTAGGTAACGTAGGGTTGCAATGAGTCTCTCCTCTGCGCTGATGGATTTGCGCATGCAAGAGTCTTTTTTCTTAATGTGGGGTCCAACCATGGATAGCAGGAGCTCAAAAGACTGCTGTGACATTCGCAAATAGTTTTTTAAAGTCATCAGGATTGTGTTCTTTCAAATTGGAAAGCAGGTTCATGTGTGAAAAACATGGCACGTTGAAGAAGCCAGTGTTTGGACCATACTCTGCTCTTCCTTGCTTTATTACTTTTGTTTTTCTTCTCCACTGCTAACAGGCCAACCATTATTAAGGCCAGTTTTTTGTTTGGTGATATTTCGTGGCATTTTCGGACAAGAAACAACGATACCTCGTTCGTACGACACGATTCTGATTTCTCCTTTCGTCAGGTTCCGATAGAAGGATCACAAAGGTCACAAAATGACATCATTTCCCGTTATAGGTTACGAAATTCATGACTTAATCGGCCGATTTTCGTAATAATTGGTGGTCAGGTAGGCTTTTTAAACCGACCGATAGTTTCGTTAAACGACCGAAAAGCGGCCGATTTTAAACACATCTATGGCCTGCATAAGTCTGTGTGAAAGTTATAGAGTCTACAAGCTATGGCACCAATCATTGCAAATTAATCACACCTGATCACACCTGAAGCACCGATGGCCTATTTCATTACTTGAGACCCTAACATGCTAGGAAAGTACAAACAGCCCCCAAAAGACCCCTTTTGGAAAATATACGGTCCAAAGTATTTAGTAGAAGACATGGTGAGTTTTTTGAAGTTGTACTTTTTTTCCCACCATTCTTTGGAAAATGAAGAAATTATTATTATTTTTGTTTCACACATAATTGTCAAAATAACAAGTTATTTCTCACAACTGGCATAAACCATACTTGCAATTACATCCCAAAAACACATTCTGCTACATCTCCTGAGTATTGTGATATCACATGTGTGAGACATTTCC